TCGAGTATAGCATGGATTGTGGGGCTGGCGCGGGTTCGGGCAGTGTTTCGTTCTGCTGTGCATGGGGTCGCTATGAGTCGGAAATGACTCGACGGCACTTAACAACAACAACAGTAAAAATACTATAATTGCTGAAAAACATTATATTTAATGACGTCTTTTCTGACAAATACACTGCACGTTTGTAACCTAAATGTGGTTGAAAAAATCAGTACTTTTGCCAGTAGATGATAAACTTCTTGCATACTTTGCTTTACAACTTTGCAAAGTTAATGTTTAACTTCTCCTTCAGTGAGTGGTTAAATTGACCATAATATATTAGAACATCAAATGATATACCAGTGAACAAAATACTTGTTCCTAGCCAATTTATGTATTCTTCTCACATGATGGTCTCAGTTGGCTGCATTATTTATTTATTGTCCTGTTCATTTCATGTTAAGGATTGTGTAACATGTAGTAGATAGTCTGTCTTTCTTGTTTTTTGTTTGCCTTTCTTGATTGCGTTCTATGCTGTAGCAAACTGTCAGATTGACTTCATGACCCACTCCCCTCAGCTGGTTTTAACCTGTCATTATGACGTGCTGTGGATGGGACCAGCTCCTCCAAAGCATATGGCCTTGCAAAGGTGGGATATATATATAAGTTGTGTATTATGTGTAAAACATAATCAGACTTACATTTGAAAGGAGGAAAATGGGGGTGGGGGCTGGAGGTAGGATAACCAAGATTATCAACTGCAGACATTATAGCTCGCTCATTTAGATATACCAAGTACTGTATCTGCTGGGTTTCCGGTTATGTAGAGTTGTTTGCCCCTATTCTAATGGCACCCAACTATTACTCTTAGTTTTTCCTATTTATTTATTTCTGTCTCTCCCTTATGGACAGCTATTTTTTCTTGTTGCTGTTGCTAAGCATTTACATTGCTTTCACACTGTCATCTTGTCTCTCACTCTCTCATTTTTCAAAGTCTCCTTTTCATTTTACTCCTTAAAATCTTAAAGAAAAGGCTGTCTTTTTAAAAGCTGTCCCTAAAGGAATGAGGTTCTGAGAGAAGTCTTAGGTTTTACTTTAAGATCTTTGTCATGGTTATGTTTACTTACTAGATTTTAAAAATTATATCCATATTTTTTAGCTACGACCTAAACAAAGTTACTATTATACCCTTCAGTCTTCTGGAGCAGCTTCTACTGTTATTAAATAGTAATAAAATAATTATAATACTTGAGGACTCTATTTACTGCTTTGTCTTCCTAGGAGTTTAAGATTATTAAACCTTGTCTCCTTGAAATGTATGGAGAAGAAAAGGCTGTTGCTCCAGTCTCATAGCTGCAAACAGCTACCACCACCACCACCACCACCACCACCACCAGCAGTTGCTACTGAGTCACTCCAACTCATGGCAACCTCATGTGTAGCAGAGTAAAACTGTGCTCCACAGGGTTGAAATGGCTGATTTTTCAGATGTAGATCTCCAGCCATTCTTGTGAGGTGTCTCTGGGAGGACTTGAACTTCCAACCTTTCATTTAGCAGCCAAGCACATTAACAATTTGCACCGCTTAGGGCCTCCAAACAACAACTTACAAAAAAAAAAAACATTCTATTCGGGCTTACAGTGACCCTATAGACAGAGAGTAGAACTGTCCCGTAGGATTTCCAAGGCTGTAATCTTTACAAAAGCAGACTACCTCAGCTTTCTCCTGCAAGAGGGGTAGGTTTGAATTGCACATCATTTGATTAGCAGCTGAGCACTAAACCACTGCAACACCACGAATCCTCAAACAGCAACTAAAACCAAAACCAAACTCATTGCCATCGAGTCGATTAGACTCATAGTAACCCTTCCTTAGGTTTCCAAGCAGTATGTCTGGGGAAGTAGATGCTCGACCTTCCTTCTGAGGGATGGCTGATGGGTTTGAACTGCCAGCCTTCTGGTTAGCAGTCACATGCCTTAGGCACTATGCCACCAGAGCTCCCAAAACAGCAACTAGAAGAATTTTAAAATTTGGAATAACATCAAATGGATTATGAAATATTCGTTGTTGTAATCTGACTTCAGTCCAGCAACAAATACAACTTTCAAGTGCTGCATTTCTTCAGTTTTAAGGTGCACATTTTCATACATTTTAACATCTCTGAAATCAGAATGTAACTTACAATTAATTAATGGTGGTGTTCTTGGACCTATGGTAAATCATGACATGGTTTCTACATGAAATTTACTTATTAAGCTTGAAGACATGACCAAACTGCCAACTCCTCATTGTTTTACTTGACAAACCGTTTAACAATATTCTATTTAAGGACCTATAAGGAAGGGATGGGAGTATGGTTACTGTCTAAAATCTCTTCTGTTAATAACCTTCTGTTAAGATTAAAGTAGGGTTATGCTCAGTGGCTAACCAAAAGATGAGCTGTTAAAACCCACCAGCCATTCCATGGGAGAAAAGACCTGATGATCTATTCTCATGAAAATGTATAGCCTTGGAAACCCTATGGGGAAGTTCTGCTCTGACACATACTATGGCAGTGAGTCGGAACTGACTGGATGGCACATATTACCAATAGCAGCAACAACTATCAGAGCTTATAGAATAAACATCTGAAGCTTGAAAGGAAATCTCAGAGACAGTAGAGGATTACTGTTATAAGAAAAGCGGAAGTAGTACCAATGTGCTTGTTGGCGTAATGGACAATACTGCACGGAAAACTTTCAACATCTACATCTCTTGGGTATGAAAGCGAGCCAGAAAAGTTGGACATTGAATGTGAAGAAATTTTAGAAATACCTTAACCAACTTACATTGCTTATATTTTTCTTTTTATTCATGCTATGTGGTTATAAAAAGACTAAAAGAAGTCTTTCACTATTTAAAAAATAAAAATTCTGAGTAATAAAGCGTTATGTCATGGTTTAATTTGACTGCATTTTCATTCTTGGTGGTACATAAAATAATGGTGTTTCTTCTAAGCTATTTTGTTGTTGTTGCTAGTTACTGTCATGTCGATTCCAACTCACAGCAGCCCCACGTGTGCAGAGTAGAACTGTGCTCCATAGGGTTTGCAGGGCTGTGATCCTTCAGAAGCAGATCACCAGGCCTGTCTTCTGAGGCTCCTCTGGGTGGGTTTGAACCTCCAACTGTTTAGCAAGTAGGTCCAGTGTTTTAACTGTTGCACCACCCAGATACTCTCTCTTATAAGCAATACTACCTTTGATTTGACGGAATATGATAGTTTGGTTTTTCTGTCAAACTTACTGAATATTATTTTACTGCATTCTATTATAATTATTTTCTTCTCTTAAGAAGAACTAAGGAACAAAATATATATGCAAGTGAAGATAACAATACAAGATATGAATGATCTAGGCCAGTAGTTCTTAAAGTGTGGTCATAGAATCAGCAGCAACGTCATTTCCTGGGCTTGTTAGAATGCATATTTTCAGACCCCACCGAAGACCTGTGGAATCAAAAACTATAAGAGTAGGACCCAGAAATCTGTTTTAAGAAACCTTCCCAGTGATATTGATGCAAGCTAATTTGAGAACCACTACTCCAAACAGAATTTCAGAAAAGAGAAAAATGCTATTATTGGTATAGTCAAGTCAGGTCTATGACTTCCTTGCAGAGAAAGAAAACAGATTCCTCAGCTCCGCTCAATTACATCTGCTGTGTTTAAGAGAAATGAAGAAACTTACCATGATGTGTGTCTGAGCCAGCTACCTGTAATAGAGGCAGAGTAGTGGAATAGTCCAAGAACTGGATCCCCTTCATTTTTGATTGATATTTGATCTTTGTCTTTTCAGCATGATGTATCCCAGATTTTACTCAAAGCAACACTGGACAGTATTGTAGAAGAATGTGTCAGTTTTGTGGGAGTGGATATTAACATCTGTTCAGAAGTTTTGTTAAGGTGAGCCAAGAAGTCTATGGCTGAAGATCACAGAATCTTGAATTTAATTGGCCATCCAGTCCAAACTCAGCTAGAAAAAGGAGACACATGTGTGTAAAGTTGTCAAGTACAGAAATTTCTTTGGGTTTACAAAGCTTTAGGTAGTCAGTCAGAGGGGAAGACATCATTTAAGGAAACTATTGTAACAATTCACATTATCATCTTTAATATTGCAAATCTAAAGTGAAGAGCATATGGTAACCATCGAGTGCATTAGTGTCGCTAATAGAATTTAAATAAGGTTAACATGGAAAAGAGCTGCTTCCCACCACATCAGATATATATTTTTCACTAGTTCAGCCTCTTGCATATGTTTGTCAGAGCTGGCGGGAGCCAACAGACAGATTCTGAGAGTTCAAGGTATACTTACCATATTTTCACACTGATTCTACCAGTCACATACCAAGATCTCCATCATACCATAATCCCATCTTATATACTCTTTTTCTACTATGATTATAGAAGAGCTGCTTCTTTTTGTTCACAACTTTGCATTTATTTCACAAGTCTGCAGATGAAGTATGAAATTCACTAGGTCTGGGCCATTTTGGATTGAAGCTGATATAGTGGAAAATATCCCTTAACATTTTAAGTTATTGCTTTTCTACTGTAGCTACAAAAATTTCATAATTCCATAGAATTAAGATTATATGAAAAAGTAATCTTCAGTTAAAACTAAGCAAACTACTTAGTGATATAATTTTCATACTTCTATTCAAACCATGATGTTCTTCATTAAGTATCTTTTTATAGTTCAAGTTTTTAATTAGAACAGACTTACCCAAAACAGTAACAGAAATGGTACTGCAAAGCAATTGTGGCTGTTGTGACTTTTGCTGCTAACTCATTTTGTAAGCTAAACAGGAATAAAACCAAAAAACCAAACCCTCTGCTATTGAGTCAATTCCAATTCATAATGACCCTATTGGGCAGAGTAGAACTGCCCCATAGGGTTTACAAAACTGTGAATCTTGCAGAAGCAGACTGCCTCATCTTTCTCCCTCGGAGAGGCTGGTGAGTTCAAACTGCCAACCTTTTTGTTAGCAGTCAACTGTGTTAACCACTATACCACCAGAGCTCCTAGAACAGGAATAGGCAGCATTATTACTTGATTCTGTGATGTAAAGGAGTGTAGAAATACTCTAGATAATTTTTATTTTTGGGGGTGTGGAACAGGCATCAGTGTTAACCTGTTTATCAGCATCTTTATGACAGCTACTGGTTTTGTTGTTATTTTGCATTCTGTTGCCCTTCTCTCCTCATAGACAACTCTTTCTTCTTTGTCCTTTTTATGTAACTCCTTTTTGATTAACTTACCTTAGAAACATGACAGTATGTAATTGTAATTGCTTTTATTATCCATAAGAAAATGTGTCTTTTCAAATGAGATCTTTTTTCAGTACTTTTTAAACTTTGTATCTGTCACATCATTCATTTGGTTTATTTTTTAGGCATATTGCAGGACTCAATGCCAACCGAGCCAAAAATATCATTGAATGGCGAGAGAAGAATGGGCCCTTTATCAGCCGAGAACAGCTAAAGAAAGTGAAAGGGCTAGGTCCAAAATCTTTCCAGCAATGTGCTGGCTTCATCAGAATCAACCAGGATTATATTCGAGCATTTTGCAGGTAATTATTAAAGTATATGCTTCTGTTCTATTATCAGCCTCCCCTGGGTCTTATTTTTACCCATCCTACTCACTGGTATAAATCCTGGGCATCCATTTGTTCATTCATTCAATAGGTGTTACGTGTGTTCGCTTTGCTTGGCACTTTTGTTAGCATTGGGAATACAGCAGTGAACAGGTCATCAAATCCTTTGTTCTCTTGGAGTGATGTTTTAGTCTGTTCGATAAACTAGTAAATAGTTTCAAATGGTAATAAGGGCAATAAAAATTAAAATAGAGAGATGGAATAGTGTCTTGGTTGAGTGAGATAACTGCTTTAAATAACATACTCATTGAAGAGTGATTTGAACAGAGTTTTCAGTGAAATGAAGGAGTAAATCATGCAGACATCATAGAGAAAGTATTCCAGGCAGACCAAACAGTAAATGTGCAAGGTCCTAGGGCAGGAACAACCTCAGTGGATTCAAGAAGTGAAGTGTAAGGGCAAGTGTGATTGGAGCATAGCAAGTGGGAAGGATTGGTATGAGATGGCATGACAAAGGTGACTCTACACAGTCAGTGTATACTAGCATAGCTGTTCCCCGAATTGTAGATATACTTCCCTCCTCTTTCTTCCCTCCTCTCTACGGAACATTCATTTTCAGTGGTGTATATTAAGAGCTAAACTCTTGCTCTCTAATCCAGGTGGCATAAAACCAGAGAAATTGTATAGAGTAGAACTCAGCATTTTGTGATCATGAAAGAATAGTTTTTTTGTATCTACTACTTTTGGTCTTCCTGTTCATTCATACGTATTTTTCTTTCTTTCTTTTTTTTAAATGCGTTTAATGCATTGAAATATAATTTATGTACAGTGAAATACATAAAACTAAAATGCAATGGGCCAAAGCAGTTTTTTTTTTTACAGTCTTCCATTCTTTCCCCTCCCATCCCTGGCAACCAACAAAGAAAGTTTCCCTCCATATATAAACCTTTCCTTGAACCTCAACAACAACGAACTAATACTATATTTGTCCTTCTGTGATTGACTTATGTCACTCAGCATGATGTCCTCCAAGTTCATCCATATTATGTGGTGTTTTGCAGAATGCACATTATTCTTTAATGCTGCATAGCATTCCATTATGTGTAGGTACCATAGTTTGGTCATCCACTCTTCCACTATAAATCTTGGAGATAAGTCCCTTGCCAGATATGTAATTATCAGCAAATATGAATGTGTTGCTGTCATTTTTGTTGTGTGCTTTTTCGTGGTGTTGATTTCTTTGTTCCATATAATTTTCTATGCTGAGCTCATTTTGTTTATCAAAAAACTAAGCAAACTACTTAGTGATATGATTTTCATACTTCTATTCAAACCATGATGTTCTTCATTAAGTATCTTTCTATAGTTCAAGTTTTTAATTAAAACAGACTTACCCAAAATAGTAACAGAAATGGTACTGCAAAGCAATTGTGGCTATTGTGACTTTTGCTGCTAACTCATTTTGTAAGCTAAACAGGAATAAAACCAAAAAACCAAACCCCCTGCTATTGAGTCAATTCCAACTCATAATGACCCCTATTAGGCAGAGTAGAACTGTCCCATAGGGTTTGCAAAGCTGTGAATCTTGCAAAAGCAGACTGCCTCATCTTCATTGCTGTTGTTTTAGTATTTGCTGAATATTTATGCTGGTCCTTTTTTTGATGTGAAGGTTTATCATTTTTCTTTGAGGTTACGCTGTGTTTTATAGTTTTCATCCCAAGTTTAGAACAGTCCGTTCTATCTTGTAGTTGTCTTGGCTTCCCTACCTTCTAGAAGTTCTGTAACGACACAGTTTTTTCCCTCTTTTTGTTTTGTAGTTGTCCTTATTTGTCAGTTGATGTCTCTGGTTCCCTGTTTATAATCTTGTAAGCTTCTTTACTTTGGATACTTCCATAGCTGGGTTGGTTTCTGGGCTATATCATCATGTGTGTTAATGGTCAGTTGTTGTTGGCTGTTGTTGCTTCTCTGTCCAAAGAGCTCCTTTTAGCATATCTTGTAAGGTTCGTCTGGTTTTAACAAACTCCCTTAATTTCTGCTTATCTGAAAATGTCCTAATTTCACCATCATGTTTGAGGGACAGTTTTGCTGGGTACATAATTCTTGTTTGGAAATTTTTCTCTTTCGGTGTTTTGTATATATACCATCCCATTGTCTTCTCACTGGCATGGTTTCTCGGTTGAGAAATCTGAGCTTAGTCTTATTGGTTGCCCCTTGTAGGTAACTTTTCGTTTTTCTCGTGCTGTTCTCATGATTCTTTCCTTGTCTTTGGTTTTGGTAAGTTTGATAATGATATGTCTGAGTGATTTTCTTTTGGGGTCTATGCTGTTTGGGGTTCGTTGGACTTCCTGAATGGATATATTCTCATCTTTCCTCATACCAGGAAAATTCTCTTCCAGCAAATCTTCTACAATTTTCTCTTTGATTTTATTTGTCTCTTCCTATTCTGAAATTCAATTACATGTAGGTTATTCCTTTTGATGGTATCCCCCACAAACCTTAGGCTTTCTTCATTTTGTTTTGCTCTTTTTTCTCATTTATCCCTTTCCAGAGACGTGTTCAGGTATTTGCCTTCAGTCTTCCTAATTCTGTCTTCCATTGATTCAATTCAGCTCCTTTGCCCATTCAATGCCTCATCTATTTCTGAAAATTTAGTATTAATCTTCTGGATTTCTGTGTGTAGATTTTGTATCATTTCTAATTTTTCATTTATTTTGTCATTTTTTTCTTGTATTGTCTTTTAAAATTGTTCTAGGATTTTCTCTGTGTTTTTCTTGATCTGTGTCTCAATTCATTGAAGATACCTAAGTATAATTCTTTTGAATTCCTTATCAGGAAGTTCCAGTGCTGCATCTTCCTCAGGGATATGTTTTGGGTCCGTATCCTGGTCCCTTGTTTCTCCTGCTTTATCTTGCTTTTTTGTGTGGACTGTGATGCTCTGTTGTCTCCAAGGCATTGTGTTTATATTTAATTGGTGATTTTATGTTGGAGTGACTTGCCCACGATTTTCATTTTCCTTGTTTTGTTTGTATCTACGCAAGCAGGATACTATGCTCCACTATTCGCTAGTTGACAGTACTTATACACTCACCACTTGTCTCCTTTCCTGTTGTCATTCTCTCATATGTCCCTGCTGACCTGGCAAACAGAGCCTATTCTTAGGTCCCTGGAATCCAAATGAGAATGCTGTCACTTTGAAATCCAAAATGGCCACTGCTTGTAAACATTCAAAATGGCTGCACCCATGGTCACTTTAAGTATCTAAAATGGCTGCCACTTATAAGCATTCAAAATGGCTGCACCCTCCATTCAGTAGAAAATCAACAGCTTAGGTTGTCTCCCTCTTCACTGTTTCCCTTCCTAGTCATAGGCCACCAGCACAGTCATCCCTGCAGCCCTTAGTGACCAGGGCTGATCTTTAGGTCAATTCTCAGGTCTCAACACCACTTGGAAATATTCAGGCTGTTGGTCCTATCAGAGTAGCTGACAGTCTGCAGCTCCGACTATCTCTGTACTCACTGTTTTCACTCAGGTTTTTTCACTAGTTGGTGCCTAATCCACTTCTATATAGTTCCTTTCAAAGGTCAGGGCTCCAGGATTATCTTCTGTATCTCTGTCAATTGGTTTTTCTTTTCTTTGTTGAAGAGGATCTGTGTCACTTGTCTACCTATTCCTCCAGCTTACCTCCATACTTTCTTTTAACAAAATTATAATAAAGTTATATGGAAAATTAATCTTTATTCTGAAAAAATAAACTAATGGAAAACCAGCCACACTGGATATTAGAATACATGATGAAACTATAGTAATTAACAGTTTGGTTTGATATAGAAGTAGATAGAATAGTATAGAGAGAGTCTGGAATCTACCAAAACATAGATGAAACTTATTCCATAATAGAGGTGACATGTCAGAACACTGGAGAAAAAATTGATTAGTTATCCATTAAATGGTATTATGATAACTGGCAGGAATTTGATATGTGTAGGGAAAGGTGTACTCCCACCTCACTCTTTCCCCATAACCAAATAAGTTCCAGATGGATCATAGACGTAAATGTAAAAAGTAAAATTGTAAAAGTACCAGAAGAAAAACATGGATAAAGTTTGCAGAACATTGTAATGCGGGGAAATTCTTTCTAAGGAAACCTTACAGCCCAGAAGCCAGAAATGGAAAATTAAGGATAAAATAATGCCATATTTGTAGTTTCTATGTTGTTGTCTCTCAACGAGATGGACTGACACAGTGGCTGCAGCCATTGGCTTGAGTATAGCAAGGATTGTGAGGCTGCCACAGGACATAAGGTCGCTGTGATTCGGAGCCAACTCAACAGCACCTAACAACAACAACATGTTGTTGGAAAAATATGACTAGATAATTCCAGCAGTACAAAAAGAGTAAGGTGAAAAGTAGAGCACCCACAATCTATAATGATGTAAATTGTGAAAACAATTTAACAGGGCAGGGGACGAGACAGAGCTGTGTAGGAACAGAATTTTTGTATGCTTCTGAACTTAAATTGATATCAATTTAAACTGGATTGTTATAGATTTAGAAAATTAAGTGTAATCCCCATGGTAACCACAATGAAAATATCTTTAAAATTTATCCACCCCACTCCACCTCCAAAAAAACGAGAATTAAAATGTTCACTACAAAAAAATCAGATACAAAAGAGTCAGTGTGGGAGGAAATGAGGGAGAAAAGGTGTGTTGTTTGTTAAGAGCCATCTAGTCGTTTGTAACTCACAGTGACCTATGGATAACAGAACAGAATGCTACCTGTTCCTGTATCATCCTTAGAATCATTGCTATGTTTGAGCCCATTCTTGAAACCAGTGTGTCGTTCCATCTCATTGAAGGTCTTCCTTTTTTCCACAGTCTCTCTACTTTACCAAGCATGTTTTTCTCCAGGGACCGGCCCCTCCTGATACCATGTCCAAGTGCGTGAAACATTCTTGCCATCCTGACTTCCAAGGAGCATTCTGACTATACTTGTTCCGAAATAGATTTGTTCATTCTTCTGTCCATCCACGGTGCATTCAATGCTCTTCTCCAGCACCACAATTCAAATGCATCTGTTCTTCTTTGGTCTTCCTTATTCATTGTTCCACTCTTCTGTGCACATGAGGCTATTGAAAATACCATGACTAGGATCAATTGCCCATAATCTTCAAAGTGACATCTTTGCTCTTTAACACTTTAAAGAGGTCTTTTGCAGAAATTTACCCAATGTAATACATTGTTTGATTTCTTAACTAATGCTTCCATGGGCCTTGATTGTGGATCCAAGGGAGATGAAATCCTGGACAACTTCAATCTTTTCTCCACTTATCATAATGCTGCTTGTTGGTCTAGTTGTGGGGATTTTGGTTTTCTTTATAAGGTGTAAACAAAAACTCACTGCCATCGAGTCAGATCCAACTCACAGCGACCTCTCCTTGGGTTTCTGAAGTGGTATCACTATGGAAGTAGATTACCCAATCTTCCGAGGAATAGGTGATGAGTTTGAACCGCCAGCCTTCTGGTTAGCAGTCAAGTGCCTTAGCCACTATGCTAAAAACTAATAGCAAAATGACAAAAGCCCTTCCTTATCAGTAGTTACTGTACATATGAGAGAATGTTATTCAGCCATAAGGAGAAGTGAAGTTCTGATACATGCTTGGGAAGTTAATGTTTAATGGTTTTCTCTTTTGAATGACAAAAGGTGGATGGTGTTGGTGGCTCCAAAAGTTGTTAATGTAATTAGTATCACTAAATTATACAACTTAAAAATTGTTGGAATGGCAAACTTTGTGTTATATATATTTTAACCACAGTTACTTTTAAAAACAGCCTAACTACAAGATGTTGCAGGCAAATTTATAGTCATTGTGGGAGATTTAAACATGCTTTCTCAGTAACTGATAGCTCCAGCAGTCAAAAAAACAGTATTTATTGTCTTGATTGTAGTGATAGTTTCATGGGTGTATATATGTGTCAAAAGTGATCAATTCTGCACTGTAAGTATGAGCAATTTATGTGATACTGCAATAAAGCTGTTTTTAAAAGTTTTTTTAAAAAAGAGTAAAGGATGCTTCAGTCTCTCACTTCAAAATAGTTTCTTATATATTGTCTCTAGCAAATAAATTTTTGCTTAAATTTATGCTTTCAAAAATAGTAGAGTAGGGGTCATGCTGTATAACTATTTGAAAACTTACTTTATTTGTTTCAAACATGTATCTCCAATCTTTTTCCAAATTATTACATGCAGATTTATATTATTCTTTATAATGTGTGCATACTATTTAGTTGTATGTATAATTTTACCTAAGTAGTACCCTGTTAAGGGACCCTGTTGGCACAGTGGTAAAGTGCTTGGCAGCTCACCAAAAGGCTGGTGGTTTGAATCCAGCAGCTACTTAGTGGAAGAAAGATGTGGCAGTCTACTTCTATAAAGATTATAACCTTGGAACGTCATGGGGCAGTTCTTCTCTGTCCTGTAGGATAGCTGTGAGTCAAAAAAAATCAACTCAGTGACAGTGGGTTTAGTGCCCTATTGGTGAAGATTTGGGTTGCCTTAAAGCTTTGTATTTTTCGACTTATAATTAGGTACATAAAGCTTTATGACTGTTATATCATTATATCTTCATGGTAGATCATACCTTATTCAGAATGGAATGTTGTTATCCCATGTAACATTTTTTGCTTTGATATCTTTTTTTTTTTTTTTTTAAATTTTATTGTGGTAAAATGTATATGGCAAAAAGTTTGCTATTTTTTTTTAACCATTTTAAAGTATTCAATTCAAAGACATTCATTATATTCACCATGTTGTCCAACCATTACCAGTAATCTATTTCCAAAAGTTTGCATCACCTCACACAGAAACTCTGTATGCTTTCAGCAATAATTCCCCATTCCCTTCTTCCCTCAGCTTCTGAAAACTACTGATTTCTTTTTTGTTTCTGTGCAATTGCATATTCTAGATATTTTATACAAGTGGGATTATATAATGTTTATCTTTTGTGTCTGATTTATTTCACTTAACTCAGTATTTTGAAGGTTCCTCCATGTCAAAGTATGTATCAGAACTTATCTCGTTGTAAGTATATATGTTTTGTTTATTTATTCATCTGTTGATGAGCACTTGGATTATTTCTGCCTTTTTGCTGTTGTGAATAATGCTACAGATGACATAGATAAACAGCCATCTGAGTCTCTGCTTTCAAGTCTTCTGGGTGTGTATATGTGCGTGTGTGTGTGTATTTATACACATACACATAGGAGTATAGTTGCTGAATCATATAGTAATACTACTGTATATTTAACTTTTTGAGGAACCACCAAAATGTTTTTCACAGTGAATACATTATTTTACATTCCCTACAGCAGTACGTAAGGGTTCCAATTTCTCCACATCCTCACTAACACTTGTTATTTTCTTTTTTGAATAATAGCTCTCCTAGTGGTTGTGAAGTAATATCTCATTGTGGTTCCCATTTGTGTTTCTTAATGACTAATGACATTGAGCATCTCTTTATATGCTTATTGTCCATCTGCATATCTTTAGAGGAATGTTTATTCAAGTTCCTTCTCCATTTTTTAACTGGATTGTTTGTTTTCTTCTTTCTTTTTCTAGTTGTATGAATTCTGTATATATTCTGGATATTAAACCCTTATCACATACATGGTTCCCAAGTATTTTCTCCATTTTTGTAGGTTGTTGCTTCACTTGATCAAGTCCTTTGATGCTCAGAGTTTTAAATTTTGATGACGTCTAGTTTATCTAGTTTTTTATCATTATTATTGCTTGTGCTTTTGATGTCATATTTAAGAATCTGTTGTCAAAAACAAGATCTTAAAGCCTTACCATTGTCATTTCTTCTAAGAGTTTTATGGATTTAGTTCTTACATTTCAGTCATTGATCCATTTTGAGTTAATTTCTGTTGAATATTGAGTTAATTTCTGTTGAATATGAGGACACCTAATTTGTTTGATCACCATGTTGTTGTATTTGCCTTTTCAGAACTTGCTTAGTATGTTTTATTTTCAAACTTCTGTGGCATTTTATTTTGATAACATATAGCTCAGCTCAGTGTAGTGGTTTTGTTCAGTCTTATTTTAATACATTCATGTATGTTGTATTCATTGATATGTTTAGACTTTATCTTCTCTCGTTAAATATTTTTTTCTTCTTCTTCTTTTGTAATTCTTTTCCTTTCATGCTGTTTGTTAGATTTATCAGTTTATAAGTCTTCTCCTGGTTTTTCTTCTTGTCTTCCCATCTCGTCTTTATCTCCCCTTAGTTGCTGTATGGCACCTAGCAACAACAAATGGTTTCAAAGTTGTACATCTTACTTCTGTTCTTCTGGTGCTCACCCTTACTTGTTTTTGGACTGATCTCTGCAGTTAATGGGCATTTCTATCCTCCCCTCAAAGAAAATTAGAACCTTAATGGTCCTTGTAACCTTCCTCCATGTAACTCTTCCTCCGCAGATGAGATTACCTGAGATTCAATTTCAGACTGTTACTTATTTTTATATTATGCATTAACAGTTATTTAACTTTATAAGTTTTTATGGCTTCTGTACTCATCAGTATTTCTTGTAGCCCGTATTTTCTTGAATTCATTATTTTTACTGAAGCATAGAAATTCTTTTCAGAGAGGTTATACTTAAGTCTTTAAGTGTTTGAAAATGATTTTAATTTGCCCTCCTGCTTGAAGGCTACTTTGTCTAGGCATGTGAATCTGGATTCAATTCATTTTCTTTCAGAATTTTTTAAGGTCTAGCCCCACTGTATTCTGGCATCTGATGTTTGCCAGTAAGAAATCTTATGCCACTGGGAAATCTTAGTTCCTTTCTAAGTAATCTGTTTTATTTTTCTCACTTAAAAGCCTTTTGGGCTTTTTAAATTATCACTTTTATTCTAAAGTTTCCCCACAATATGTCAAGTATCAGCCAGTTCCCATTGATCCCATTCTATACTCAATGGGTTCTTTTAATTTGAGAACTCATGCTTTCCTCCAGCTCTGGACAATCATATTATTATTACTTAATTTATCCTCCTTTATTTTCTATGTTCTCTTCTAGAATGTCAGTTACATAGGCTGAGTCAGTTAAGAATGTTTTTGGCTTTACTTAACAGAGCACCCTATACACTGTGGTTTAAACAAGTAAGTGGTATATCCTATGAAGTGAGTGGGTCAGAATCTGGTTGCTGTTTGTGTATATTTATGTAGCAGGAAAAGAAACACATTGTTAATTAAAAATTCTTTCTCTGCTCAACCTCCCCACCCCCTTTTTTTCATTGGTTACAGTAGTCAGCACAATGAATCTTCAACAACTGTTGATGTAACAAATGAGAAGCAAGGAAAGAAGAAGAGTAAAACTCCAGTGAATGTTGCGCTGAAACCAAATCCTTTGGACCAAACTTGTATTCACCCAGAATCATATGACATAGCAATGAGGTAAGTCTCAGGCCCTTGTGAAAATTCTCTGTGCCCAAGAGTGAATGCTCTCCAGCAAAGGGTCTTTGCTTTGGCGTATTGGGGACTGAAAAATATGACCATGTTTAACATGACATTTTTCAGAAGTTCTGCATTGGTGAATTATGTGATATTTTATTTCAGTGAGGAATGAAACCATTATTCTTGGCATAGTGTGAGGCTAATAAACTCTAATACTAATGGTGAATCGTGTTTAATGAAAATTGCATGGCACTCTCTTCTGTGTGTTTTAGAAATTAACAAGACATAATTGACTGGCACCTGGCTTAAAGCTTGCGCTTATCAGAAGATAAAGCCCTTTTGAAAGTAAACAGCCAACTCTCAGATTTCCTAAGTAGCCTGTTGTCCTGGCTGGTTATTACAGAGTTTAAGAAATGGCTGTCTTTATAATGCACATACATCAGCCCAACAGAATGACATGGGGGATGTTTTTGGTAATGAATGAGCATTTAAAAGTGTTAATATATATATATATATCTTATCAATACAACATTTGATTAGTAATTGTTTTAATATGTTCAAAACCTGTGACTTGTTATGCAACAAAAGTTTTTAAGGCTTTTATTGACTTAACAGACAGTGGTTTAAATGTTAGATAATGTGTAACTTCCATTGAATCCAGCTTGCTTTGACAATATTTATATTTGATTATTTTAATAAATGTCATTGATTTTCTTTCTTGTAAAAATATTTAAAACTACAAAGACTATACATAGCACATTATAGGGAACTTAGAAAATAGAGAAAGGAAGAAAAAAAAAATACTCTGCCAACATCAAAACACTGGTTCCTGTTTTTCTCCCAGCGTTTTACTATGAAAAGTCTTAAACATACACAAAAGATGAAAATTTTACAGTGAATTCCTGTTATTCACCCCTAGATTTTATTGTTAACATTTACTATACCTGTATTCCTCATTTCATCCTATCTTCTGAATGCTTTTCAAAGAAAATTGCAGAAATAAATATTAGTGAACCACTTGCCATGGAGTCAGCTCTGACTCATGGCAACCCCATGTGTATCAGATTAGAACTGTGCTCCACAGGGTTTTCAGTGGCTGATTTATTTGGAAACGGATCACTGGGCCTTTCTTCCAAGACCTGGCTCTAACCTCAAACCCTGTGGTTAGCAGCTGAGCACTCCAGTGGTTTGCATTACCCATCGGTGCCCTCCCACTAAATACTTCAGCATACATATCTATCATTAACTAGAGTTCAATAAGGGTTTATAATTTTTTTCTTTCCACATTCAATTTGCATACAGTTAAATCTTAAATACACATCAGTTAAGTTTTGACAGATACCTACACCTTTGTAACACAAACCCCCATCAAGATAATGGAACATACCATCAAATCCGAAAGAATTTCCCAATACCTGTTCCTAGTCGTTGCCTCCAGCCTACCAGAGGTAACTGCTGCTCTGATTTTTTTCTACCACACATTCATTTGAGTTTACTAGAACTTCATATAAATAATGTATGAAAAACAAACAAAACAAAACTCACTGCCATCGAGTCAGATCTGACTCATAGTGACCCCTCCTTGGATTTCCGAGGTGGTATCACTACAGCAGTAGATTGCTCAATCTTCCGAGGAGTGGCTGGTGGGTTTGAACTGCCAGCCTTCTGGTTAGCCATCATATGCCTTAGGCACTATGCCTCCAGAGCATGGTATACTAAATAATGTATAATCATACAGTTTTGTGCTTCTTTTAGGCCTCTTTCTTTCAGTGGCTTATAATATGCATCAGTAGTTCTGTTTAATGGCTGAATAATACTCCTTTTCAATTGAGTTGTTTCAATAAAGGATGCAGTGCTGAAAGCACTCATTTGTCTATGCCCTGAAATCTGGAAGTCAGCTACCTGGCCAACTGACTCAATGAGATCCATATACATGCCCATTCCAAAGTAAGGTGATCCAACAGAATGCAAAAATTATCAAAAAATGTCATTAATATCATGCAAAGCAGAATTTTGCTGAAGATAATTCAAAGACAGTTGCAGTACACATTGACAGGGAGCTGCCAGAAATTCAAGCCAGATTCAAAAGAGGACATGGAGCAAGGGATATCATTGCTGATGTCAGATGAATCTTGGCTGAAAGCAAAAAATACCAGAAAGATGTTTACTTGTGTTTTATTGATTATGTAAATACATTCAACTGTATGGATCATAACAAATTTTGGATAATATTGCAAAGAATAGGCATTCCAGAACACTTAAATTGTGCTCATGAGGAACCTGTACGTAGACCAAGAGGCAATCATTTGAGCAGAGTAAGAGGATACTACATGGTTTAAAGTCAGGAAAGAAATGCATAGGATTTGTATCCTTTCACTATACTTCACTCAATCTGTACACTCAGTAACTAATCCAAGAAGTTGGGCTACATGAAGAAGAACTTGTCATCAGGATTGGGGGAAGACTCATTAACAACCTGCAATATGGAGATGATACAAACTTGCCTGCTGAAAGCAAAGAGGACGTGACACATTTACTGCAGAAATACTTATAGCTGGACTAACAAGCAACATCATGATAAACGGAGAAAAGATTGATATGATCAAGGATTTTATTTTACCTGGATCCATGATCAGTGCCCATGGAAGCAACAGTCAATAAATCAAGTGATATATTGCATTACACAAATTTGCTGCAAAAGACCTCTTTAAAGTGTTAAAAAGCAAACATGTCACTTTGAGGAATAAGGTGCACATGACCCAAGCCATGGTATTTTTAATCGCCTCAAAGCATGCGAAAGCTGGGCAGTAAATAAATAAGACTGAAGAGGAATTGATGCCTTTGAATTATGACTTTGGCGAAGAATATTAAATACACCATGGACTGACGGAAGAACAAAATGTTTTGGAGGAAATATAACCGGAATGCTCCTTAGAAGCAAGAGTGTTGAGACTTTGTCTCCTGTAGTTTAGACATGTATATCTAAGAATGGAATTTCTGGGTAATGTGGTAGGTGAATGTTTGGTTTTCTTAGAAACTTCTAGACCTCATTCCAAGGTATTTATTTCACATTTCTATCAATGATGCATCAAGGTTCTGATTCTCCACACCTTGACATCATTTAAAGTTGGTTTTCAAAATTGCACTCATTCTAGGGGTGTATAAAATTTATCTTGTGGTTTAAATTTGCATATCACTGATAACAGATGACACTGAGTACCTTAAACCCACTGCTGTGGGGTTGGATCCAACTCATAGCGACCCCTCCATGGGTTTCCGAGGTGGTATCACTATGGAAGTAGATTGCCCAACTTTCCTTCTGAGCCTTCTGGTTAGCAGTCAGATGCCTTAAGCTCTATGCCACCAGAGCTCTTTGAGTACCTTGTCATGTACTTATTAGCCATTTGTGTAGCTTCTTTTATAAACTGTCTCTTCAAATCTTTTAGCCATTTTCTAGTTGGATTGTTTGCCTTTTTTACTATTGAGTTATAGGTGATTTTTTTTTCATCTTTTTTTGTGAACGTGTGTGGTGAAAACACATACAAGGCATTCACTAACATAACAACTTCCACGTTTACAGCTCAGGAACATTGATTACATTTTTTATGTTTTGCCACCGTTATTATTGCTATCCTTTTCCAAAATATTCCACCAGAGTTATAGGTGTTTTTTAATATATTCTGGATATTGGTCCTTTGCCAAATATATGTTTCTCACATTTTTTCTCAGTTTGTGGCTTGCTCTTCATTTTAGAAATGGTGTCTTTTGATGAGCAAAAGTTCTTGACTTTGGTGATGTCTGATTTAATATTTTCTTTTATAGTTATTGCTGTCTAAGAAACCTACCTCAAGTCATTAATGTATTCATCAACTTTTTTTTTTTTAAAAAAAAAAGCTTTATGGTTTTAGCTTTTATATTTAAGTCAATGATAAATCTCAGATTAATTTTTGTACATAGTGTGAAGTACGGGTCAAGGTTTATTTTCTTTTCCCATTATTGATATTCATTCATTTTAGTACCTGACGTTGAAAAAAAAATTTCCTTACCCATTGTTTGGTGCCTTTGTTGAAAATCAAATAACTATAAATTGTTCTCTTCCAGTGATGTATTTGTCAATCCTTATGTCAGTATCACACTCTCTTGATTACTGCAGCAGTAAACTAAGTTTTGAAGTTGTTGTTGTGTGCCGTTGAATCGGACCCAACTCATAACGACCCCTCCTTGGGTTTCCAAGGCAGTATCACTACGGAAGTAGATTGCCCCATCTTCCTTCCGAGGAGTGGCTGGTGGGTTTGAACCGCCAGC